CGACAGCACCTAACAACAACAACAAAGGTCTTCTGGGAGATAGTGACTTATTCGTCAGTCAAAAGGATTTTGTGTCTAGTATTCTATCCCTTATGGCGGTTCCAGTAGTGTAATTCTTTTGCACATAAATCTAGCAGGCTGTAATAGTGATGTTACTTGCTCATCCTTCATCAACTTTTTTTTTTTTAAATAATATTTTATTGTGTTTTAGGTGAAGGTTTATACAGCAGTTTAGGTTCCCATTAAACAATTTCTATACAAGTTGTTGAGTGACATGGATTCATTCTTCACAATGTGTGAACATTCTCATTATTTTTGTTCTGGTTGTTCTGTTTCTATTCATCTACTTTCCCTGTCCCTTACATTCTCATCTTTGTTTTAAAGTAATTGTTGACTGTTTGGTCTCGTATAGGTGATTTCCGAAAGGAGCACAGTATTTACAGGTGATATTCATTATTTTTTGAGCCAAGCTGTTATTTAGTTACAAGATGACCTCAGGGGTTATTTTCAGTTCAAGGTTTGAAATGTATTTCAGGGCAATAGTCTAAAGTAGTCCTTCAGTCTCAACCAGTCCATAGGTCTGGGTTTGGTTTTTTTTTTTTTTTTGTAAGGAATTTTGAGGTTTTGTTCCACATTTTTCTCCCATTCTATCAAGGTCCATCTATTGTGGCCCTGATTAGACTGGTCAGTAGTGGTAGCCAGGCACGATCTAGTTCTTCTGGTCTCAGGGTAGATGAGGCCATGGTTTGTGTAGACTGTTTGTCCTGTAGACTAGTTTCTTTGAGTCTTTGGCTTCTTTCTTTCTCTTTTGCTCACCTTCATCATCTTTAAAAATACAGATGCTTTTACAACTTGTACAAGGAAAGGTCATGGAAGCTCCATAGACACATCCAAACTCCCTGAGGGACTGAATTTCTGGGTGGAGGGCTGTGGGGACCATGGTCTCAGGGAACATCTAGTTCAATTGGCATAACACAGTTTATAAAGACAATGTTCTACGTTCTACCTTGGTGAGTAGCGTCTGGGGTCTTAAAACCCTGTGAGCAGCCATCTAAAATACTCCACTGGTCTCATCCCTTTGGTTGCAAGGGAGAATGAAGAGAACAGGATACAAGAAAAAGCTTAGTCCAAAGGACTAATGGACCACAGCTACCAAGGCCTCCACCAGACTGAGTCCAGTACAGCTAGATGGTGCCC